ATACTAGGTCATTTGTAAAAAAGGAAAACTCAAGGCTAGCCCAAGGTCGCTCTCATGGGGTAGGGGAGATGGACTCTGACAGCCAGGATAGAGATCCTCAACTCCAGAGCCTATCTCACAGTCCCTTCCATGCTCCTTAGGCTGGTGCCTTGGAAACAGGCAGGCTTAGCCAGAGAGGATCTGAGGACTTCAGCCACCCCCTCCTTCCACACTTAGTGTTGGCTCCCCTGGGCACGCGCCTTCCACCTCACCCCTTCCTTGTTGAGCCAACAGCTCGATCCTGATCTCTTGAACTGGAAGGTCACTCCAGAGGGGCCTCCTCTGAAAGCCAATGCTAATCCAGTTAGGGGCTGGCCTGGCGCTGCACGCCCTCTGTAGGACCAAGTGCAAGTGAAAAAATGCCAATTACCAGATGACAAAAAGGGTCCCTGCCCCTGGGGAAGGGCAAGCTAGGGGGAGGGATGGGAGGGGGAGAGTAACTGAACACCTTGCCGGAAATAGCTCCTATCAGTCCACTTAGGGAGCCATCAGCTCCGGCAGATTTATGGGCAGCGTGCGCCCCTCTGATAGATCGGACTATTTAAAGGCAGCCTGAGCCTCCATTTATATCAATGTGGAGCAGAGAGGGAGGGGGAGAAGCTGTGAGGTGGGGAGTGAGAAGCAGCACTGGGGGCCAGCCCCAGGTGGAATGCCACACTAGCAAATTGGCCTCAGAGAAGAGGTAAGGCTGTTGGCCAGGTGAATGGGGTCACAGGGTGGGGAGGAGACTGTCTCAGATCTAGTCCCATTGGCATCCAGGAGGGCAGGACACCGGGTTTCACAGAACTCCCAGCAGCATCTTTCCTGGCCCCAGCTCAGACTCTTTGCAAGCCCCTCCAGCTAAAATGGGGAGCTCAAGCTAATACCAAAGTGGATCTCCTCATTGGATTTCTAGCCGGGTCCCCACCTCCCGAGCTGCGGGGCATGCTTGCCCTCCATGCAACCTCCCCCTTGCCTGGGCTGAGGGAGAAGGAAGGGGTAATTGTGTTAGGCTGGGGGCATTAGCCGCTGAGGAATGGGCCTGCTGCCTCCTGCCTGCTTGTCCCCAGCCTGCACTTCCTGGGGGCAGAATAAGCAGCTCCCATTGCTCTCTCCAGTTCTGCCTGGGCCTTCCTCCCTAACTCCATTACTCCTGGGCCGAGGTGCTTGCCCGACCCATGGTGGTCCCTCTGATAATTCACCTCTCAGGAAACTCTGCCTTTCTGACCTCTCTCTGCCTCCTTTCTTGCTCCTCTCCTCCTGCCCTCCCTCTATCCCTGCTTTCTCCCCAGGTTTCTAGATCTGTACCCAACTGGCCTTATTCTCTTGGTTCCATGGCAAACTGCTATAATCTACCAACATATGCCTCCGCACAGAACCAACATCTGCCAGTTTGTGGGTTACTGGTTGGTCAGTTTGTTCACTGGTTCATTCATTCATGGAATGCTGACCGAGCACTTTTTACAGGCCAGGCTTTATGCTAAGCGCTGGGGACACAATCAATTCCCAGAAGTTCTTGTTCTGGAGGAACCTATAATCCAAGGGGCTGGTAAGCAAGGGAACAACACAACTATCTTGTGTAAGGCTCACCCTGGCCACAGGTGGTGTACAGATCTGACAAGTGGGGATGGGAACAGAGACAGAAACACAGAATAGAGGTTCTCAACCTTGGTCACACAATAGGGAGCTTTAGAAATGCTGATGTCCAGGCCGCATTGAGGTCAATTAAATCAGAATCCCTGGTCAGAGGTCCAGACATTAGGTTTTCTGGAAAGTCCTGCCCAACTAGGGGAGTTCAATGATTAGCCGCAGTTGAAACCCTGAGTGAGCTGCTATTGCAATAGTCTAGGCAAGAGATGACGTGAGCAGAACTAATAGAAAGAAGAGAGGAATTTGAGAAATATTCCTCATATTGCTATCTTTAATAGTTACCACTCTGGTCCCCCACTCATCCCCTATTCCCCAAACTCCTCAGCAGATGACCTCAATTCTAACTTCACAGAAGAAACAGGCCAGTGGGTAAAATTCTACAAGATGACAAGTCCCCAAAGAACAGGGACAAGTTCTGAATTCACAGGGCCCAGTGGAGCCCCACAGGATGAGAATCTAATAAATGCTGGACTAGACTGAACTAGTTCATTCTGTGGATGAGGGTTTCCAACCCAGGAAAGATGTTTCAGGGATATCAGCTCTAGGGACATTGAGGAGCTCCTGGAAGAAAAAGAGCCCTGGAAGGAACAACCAGAGGGGCTAGGGAGGTGGAGGTGGAGGAGGAAGTGAACTAAAGTAATTGGCTTCACATCAAGGCTCTCCCCACACTGCCCAGCTGTTTCATTTGGGCTGCATAACAACTTTCTGCAGTGGTTACTATTATTTCTATTTTTTAGATGGAGAAATAGGTTCAGAGACTGAAACTTGCTTGAGGTATCATCAAGGGATTAAAATTTAGAAGCTCTGATTGGAAACCATGTCTGCTGAAGGTGAAGGTGTCTTGGCATTATGTCATCCTACAGGAAACAACTGTGCCAGAGAATTTCAAGAATGAGGGAGGAGTTAATAGTGTTGAATACAGCAGCCCCCCTCTTCCTGTTCTCCTGGCTCCAATTCCCTAGTGAACTTGAAACAGGAACCATTGGGAGAGGAAATAACAGCACCCCAAGTCCTCTGTTGTCTACCAGAATCACAGTGCCACTGCAGCCTGCTCTTGCGGCTGGGGCCCAATGTCTTGGGGGGCCCTACCTCGACCTCAGCCCAGCCTAGTTAGAGGAAACTCAACTTGTACAAGCCCACTTCCATCTTGCTTTTGAGGACATAGGACTTTGCCAGAAAAGAATGGGCTGCCTTTCTTCCACCCCAGCTCATAAAGGTTCTTATTCAACAAGATTCAGGCCTCTTTCTCCTTGGAGAAAGTCATCCAGTTTCTCCCTGTCCCCAGGCTCAAGAGTGCTTCACTTGGTCCCCACCCCAGCGCTTTGTGTATGCCTATGAGAACTTCGATCTCAGTATGTTTTGGTCACTTGGTGGGTGTCTGTTGTTCTCAGTCCCATTCAGGTCACCAGCTCCCCAAGGACAGGGAGCAAGTAGGAATCTTCATTTGTGATGGCACTGGATAAATACACACTGATCAAATGAATGAGAAAAGCAACTCTAGGACAAGGATGGAAGAGAACCGGTAGGGTGGAGGCAGGCGGGGAGGGAAAGACAGGAGAAATGAGGCCTCCTTTGATTTATAATGGTCCAGGCAGTCAAGCCGGTTCCAGGCTTCCCAGGGACAATTGCCAAAAAGCCCTTGGGGGCATACATGGGCTCTGCCAGCTTGTACTTTTTTGAGCTAAGCTGTTCCAGTCTCCTCTGGGTACCCTCCACTTAGCCCCTGTAGTTGTCTGGGACCTGCTAAGGCTGAAGTCGAGACTGACAGTGGCAGCAGCAACATGGCTGGGAGAGACTGAAGGCGCTCCTATATCTTTGCTCAGGAAATAGCCTCATAAAAGTGACAGGGAGACTCACCTATGGATGCTTGTTAAATTTTTATTACTAATCACCTCCAAAGTCAGCAAGGCAGAGGGAGGGGGCTGGGAAATGGAGTCATCAAGGCCTGGGAGCAGGTGTCAGCAGCCCCAGCATCAGAGGCAGGGACTGTCAATGTGGGTTTAAGCAGCCACAGTTCCCTACAGTGCCAAGGACTCCCCACACAGCTCTGGTCCAGGGAGATGATATTCCTGTGCCCTCTCCCCCACTTGTAAAATGGATAGCTCCTTGTTTATTTCCTGTGGCTATCAGATCACCAAGCCATGTTCAGACCTCCTGCTGAGCCACCTGATCCATTCCTACTTCCTTCTCCCCAGCGTCACTGATCTAGTCAGATGGCTCCATCTTACTCAGACTGTTGTATTAGTTCATTTTCTGTTACTGAAACAAAATACCTCAGCTAGGTGCTTGGCTCATGATTCCTGTAATTAGAAGGTTGGAACAGCATGGCATTGACCCCCGGGCTATGTCACAATATGGTAGAGAAAGGGAAAGAGAAATGGCCATGTGCAGAAGGGGGCAAGTGCATGGGGTCGGTAGCTGGATAACAACTTGCTTTGGTTACAACTAATTCCATAAGACCAGAATTAATCCCTTCCTTCGGGGATGCCCCAGTGAACTAGGCCCTACTTCTTAAACATTTCACTACTTCTTAATTTGCTACCTTGGGGAACCAAGCTTCTAGCACATGGGGACAAACTACATCCAAACCATAGCAGCCACTGAGTTGGCCCCCAATTGAGTCAAGCATTTGGTCAGCCCATCTAGATAACTCCTCTTCTACACTGCTGCGAGGTCTTTCTCCTTCAGTGACCTCCAGTTGCCTTCAGGATGGGAATAACGCCTTAACATGCATGGAAATATCTTCAGGATTTGGGCCCTGCCTAACTCTTAAACACTCTTTTCCCCCATTCTCTTTCCAAGGCTGAACTATTTGAATTTCCCCTCAAATCTGTATCTCTCTGCCTAGAAGTTCCTTCTCCCTGAATGCTGGATGAACACATGTTCTTTTTTAAAGACCCACTGGAACACCTTAGGGAAGGCTTCCCTCCCTCTAGGGTTGGGTAAGCTCAGTGCATTGATCACACTGTTCTACAATCTTCTCTTTCCTTGTACATGTACCTCATAGACTGTAAACTCCTCTAGGGCAGGATTCATGTCTGATTCATTTCTCCATCCCCAAGAGTCCAGTTTGGCATCATTGTTTGCTGAACAAAAGAATTAATGAAGAATTGTTATGACGTTTACATTCCACAAGGCTATAGCTACACAAGAGTAGGAATGGGGCAGTTCCTTTACCAGGGTGACCTGTGCTTGTACAGTGCCTGACAGGTAACAGGAGCCCAACCACTGAGATCACTGGGTGTGAAACAATCTGAAACCCTAAAGATAGTATCTTTATTGTTCTGTTCTCACATGTTTCTCAAGCACTCTCTTTTTTCTTATCTATTTAGTCACCAGCACCTCTACCCTCCAAGAGCCAAATCAATGAAGCAGGAAAGAATCTGAAGATACTGGAAAATCTTGAGGCTGTTTTTCCTGTTTGGGAAACAGGACCTGCCCTTCCAGTCACATTATGATTCATCTGCCTTCCAACATCTGAATGCAGAGAGGGGAGAATCTTCATCCATTCAATCAGCAAGCAATTAAACCTCAGATAGAAGAGGTCCATTTTGGGGGGCTGGGTCCTGATAGTTCTGGGGACATGGGATGATTTAGGGCAAGTTCCTGCTCACTAGGAGTTCTCACCATCTCTCAGGAGGTGACATTGTCAAGTGACTACAGCCTTTTGAAAGCACCCCCTCCCTGAAGCTCTGAGCTTTGCTGGGGCACGTGGATAGGTGCTGAGAAGGTCAGAAGCCAGGGAGCCAGGAGGGTGCTGAAGGAGCCAGTCTCTGCCTGGGCCAAGGGGGACCCTCAGCAAGACTCAACTCCCAGCCCAGGAAATGCCCTCCCTGGAGGGAGCTCTGGGCTCATGGAGCTGGAGGTCGGGGATGGGGGCTGTGTCAGAGATGACTCCTCCAGAGAAGAAGTTGTGGGTGGCTTCATGATGCTTCTTTGTACAGGCCCTTTTTTCCTGGCAGATCACAGGTCACCCTCCTGCTTTCAAAGTGGACAAATGAACTGGGTCACAAAACTTCAGAAGTTATGTTCCTGGTATAAAGAGAACTACACTGACGCAGAGAAGTGGGTCTGCTCTAAAGGAGACCGGGATGCCCTGACCCCTTAGGGCCAAAGTCCTCTCCACCCCCCCCCCCATGAAGCTGACAGCTTCTCCAACAAATCTCCCTTGAGGTCAGCCCAACCTCCTTCCTTCGGCTCCCCTTCCCACAAGTCAGAGCTGTGGCCCCTTCCCCACAGGCATTACCCACCTGCCCCGGTGGCACCCTTCCTCCTAGGCTAGTTTGAAATCTCCCCGGAGATGCCCCCTGCCTCGCCCGCTGGCGCTTGCCTGCTGGATCCTTGGTGCTGCCTGCCCTCCCTCCCTCCTTCTCATCTCTATATATCTGTCTAATGAACATTTCAATAAGCCGAGCACAGCTTTTTCCACTTAATAAGCAGAGTGCTGACTTCATTGCGGGTTTGCTCTTCACTTATCTGTTCAGGGCCTTAAATCATTCCCAGGAAAAAGCTTAGCAAAGGGAAACCTGGTATCCTAGTTATCGGCTGCTCCTGTCAGCACCTGCCCTGCTGGGACTAAGGGGAAGCCCTGCTTCCACAAAACAGCATGGAAGTGTGAATAAAACTCCCGGAATAGCCAAGAGTCTGGAAAGCTGACTCATGAAAGGAGGCGAGGGGATGTTGTCACTGAAGGAAGTGCTGGAGGTAAGGTGGAAGAGGCAGAGGAGGTTGGCCTGGGGTGTCCTGCTTCAAGGAGGGGAATAAGGGAGAGATAAGGGAGACATCCTGAGAAAGACAGGTTTAATGAGCACATATTATATGTTAGCCCTAGGGACAAAACAAGGAACAAAAGTGTCACAGTCCCTGCCCTCATGAACTTTCTTTCTGGCAAGACAGGAAAATATTACATAAACAATTGCCTAGACAATGGCTTCAGGGGACAAGGACAGGTGTTATGGGAATGAGTGATGGGGACTAGGAAAAGTTTCCTTTAGAAGATGAGGTTTAAGCTAAGGTATGAAAAGATTAGGCTGTTACAGGTAACAGGTAACTCAGGAGAGACCAGAATAGTCCAATAATGAATCACCTTCACCAGGTTTATTACCTGTTGTTCTTTGTTGAGGCCATGTCATGTAGTGGTACAGGACACACAGGCTCTGGAGCAAGACATACTTGGGTCTGAATTCTAGCTCTTGAACTTACTGGCTGTGAGATCTTGGGGAGGTTATTTAAACTGTGCCTTCACATCTTTATCTATAAAATGGGGTTAAATTACTTACCTTGCAGGGTCATTGTAGAGATTTAACTTGATACTCAGTATAAAGAATGTATGTCAAGTACGTGGCATATAGGACATATTCAATAAATAGCAGACCTTACCACAAATAGTACCAAAATTGTGTATCTGTTTTTGCCTCGAGCCTATTATGAGGTCCTTGAAGACTTCGACAAAGTCTTACATATTCTGATTAGACAGGGAGAACTGAAGAGGCTCTGATATTTCACAAGGTGTCAAAGAAAAACCCCAGGCACCCAACCCAAGGTATGGCCCTTGGCGGGCAGTCATCTATGTGGCGGGGGATGGGCTGGGAAGGCTCTTCTCCAGCTTCCTTCAGGATTGAGTTGGCAGGAAGATTTCAGGGCAAAAGGCTACAGACTCAATTAAATGTGGACAAGTGCAAGGCAATGCCTTTTGTGATAAACACATCAAAATCCCCTCCCCAGTGCTCAACTCTGCATGGTCAGCCTCGGTTCTGGCAAAGGACCTGGAAATCCTTCTTCATTTAGACAGTTTCCCGAGGCTGTTGGCCAAGAGGCAAAGAGAATTGTGAATAAGATATCAAAGAAGAAGGAGCACATATTTCTCCAAGTGTCCAGCTAGACAGTCCTACCTGCAGGACTAAGATGTGTTGTTGTGCCCTATCCTGGAGAAGATCCAGGGGGTGCAAAACCTCCTTAGCAGAAAAGATGGAATGATTCACTCTCAAGTCTAGACATGGGAAGGCTGCTGGGGGACAGAAAGAAAGTCCCAAAGGGTGTAGAGAAGGTGACTAGAGACTCATTCACAAAATCCTGAAACTGTAGGCAAAGTGAGTTTGCTTTGAAATTTGAGCACATTTAAGATGGATAAAGGGGGTTGCTATTTTGCACAGTGGCCAGTGAAGTTAAAAATTTCATTATCCCAAGCAGAAAACATGAATGAATTGAAATGTATTGGGGGAAATCTCTGGAAGACAAAGTCATATGTATTCCTGAATCAGGGTTTGTTCAGTGAATGAATAAATGAATATGGATGATTCTGGTTTTCAAGGTATTTCAATCCAATCTAATAAATATTCATGGAGTGCCTACTGTGTGCAAAGCATTGTGCAGGATGTAAAGCTGAACAGTTTCTGTCTAGAAGCTTACACTTTTATAAGGGGATTAGAAAGGACACGGTCAACACAGGGTGGGCACAGAGAGTGCTGCAAGAAAAATGCAGGTGACTATAGGAACAATTCTCTGAGGTATGGAGAAGATGATGTTGGAAACCAGCCTTAAAGAATGAGATGGGTTTTAGCAGGTAAAAAAGGAAATAAAGGCATCCTAGAAAGAGAGAATAAGTCCTAAGATTTGGGGGTGTGGGTGAAAAAATGAAGGACATATTTGGGTATGGATAAGAGTACAGTGAGAGATTGTGTGTGAGAGAGAGAGAACAAAAGATACCCAAAGATTACAGAAGAGTGGCACTTGAATGGCACAGGGAAATCTGGTCTACTCTATAGGGCAGACCAATATTCCCAAGGCAAACCCTCACAATCCAATGACAAGCAAGTCCTGAGAGGCAATGGAGCAGACAGTTTCTAGTAGCTCTCAAATTTAAGGCACAAAGTAACTGGTAGATTCCAGAGCTAAGCAGAAAGCTCATTCAGCTCAGTCCCTAGGGAGATACAGAATGAGCTGCTATGGATCCCTAAGAATACATGGATTGTGTTTGCCATTTCTGGCCTCCTGGGGTCTCAGTGGGCAAGTGCATTCAGCCCAGTCACGTGAACTCCTTGGGTACCTACCTCCTCCAGGGATGTGTCATTTGAGCTTTTCTTAGAAGATGAACAGGAGTTCAACAGGTGGATAAAGAGACTATGGACCCTCTAAGCAAAGGGAAGCAATATAGGCAAAGGCACTGAGGTAAACATGGATGGGCACCTTCAAAGGAAGGAGTTCAGGATAGCTGGAAGTGAGGGTATGCAATGAGGAGACTTAGGGGCTGAGACTGGGGAGGTCCGTGAGGTCAGGTTATAAAGGACTTTGAATACTATACCAAGGAGTCCACGTTTGATCCTATAGACAAAAGAATAAAAAAGCCATTGAGAGAGGTAAGGAAGGTGTGAGACATGATTTGCTTTGCAGTTTAGAAGTATCACTCTCCAAACAGTGTAGAGGAGGAATTAATGAATTAAAATTGTTTCAGGGAGATTAGCTAGAATGCTATTTTCAAAATCTAAAAGACAGGTCTGCGATAGAACAATGGAAACAGATATGGTAAAGAGGAAGAGACCAAAAGGGAATGTGAACTTGGAAGGCCATTGCCATCTACCTGCTTGCTATGCAATTCCATCTGAGACCCAGACTGACTTCCCACCTGGCTGACTGCATACTCTGTCGCCAGAGCTTTGCCTGGGGAAAGGTAGATCTTCCTGCCTCTTTATTCTCTTCTCAGTTGATTTCAAGCCCTAGATCAATGGGGACCCCTTCAGCCCAACTGTTTCCTGTTCTTGGGTCTGACATTGGAGCTTTTTGCTCTATATACACCAAAGAAGCTATTGGCAGATTTTTGGGACAGACAGCTTTGTTGAGTATGAATAGATCAGAAAGTGTAATCTTCAAATACCTGCCAGGATTCCTCCTCTGACTTTGTTTGGGGATTGACACTAAGTTAGAAGAATGAGATAGCAAAGGATTAAGGGTAGGTGAGAAGAACACCCCCAAGCAGTTGCTTCAATTTTTGCCCAAGTCCCTCCTCGATGCTCACTGGGGTGCTAGCTCTCCACATTCTGGGCTTCGTTCTTCAGAGGCTCTTGCTCTTTGACCTGGGGTGAAGCTCAAGTGGAGGAGTCCCAGCCCTTCTCATCTCCATCCTTCCTCTATTCTTAAAGGTAGGGGATGATTGCATGTCTCTCTTTGCCCTTCAACATCCACACATCACCTTCTCTGTCCTGCTTTGTGCCTTGGGAGCTAACTTCTGTGGACTGCCTCGATCAAGTTCCTTGCTTTTTTACCAACAGAAGCAATTGCCCCTCTGGTGCCAGGAAGGTGCCATCAAGCTTAGATAGAAGGTTATTGCTGAAGCAGGAATTATGGAGGGCTCATGGTTGCCTTGCCTTCAGGATTCTTGTTAGGTTTGACACATGGAAGACATTAGACAAGAGCTGGGGTAAATATTACCCTGGCTCCTTCTCTGCCAGCTATGGGTCAGCACTCCTTTACCCAAGGTCATAGCTCTGACTAGTCATGATCATAGCCCTGTCCTTCCTGGGATCTGGTACATGTTCCTACAGCTCTATAGGGGGTGACATCCCCTGCTGTTGTGAGCCCTGGGATGTTTCACCTTCTCTCTGTAGTTTTTTATTTTTGGGGAGTGGGGGGTACCAGGGATTGAACCCAGGGGCACTCCACTACTGAGCTCTATTTTGTATTTACTTAGAGACTTCTCCAAGCCTAAATGAAGCCAGTTACATAACTGGTGTTCCTGCGTTCATGAGTTCTGAGCCTGCTACTGAAGCTCCTTTCTCTGAGCACCCTAGATAATCTGAGGTGAGCTTTATCAGAACCAGCCAGGTTCTCTCCACTCTTCCTATCTCAGTAGACTCCTGTCTATGCTTGGATGGCACCTCCCCAGCACCACAGGGGCAATGGCTTCCACTGGCCCATTGATCAGATCAATTCCGGTTCTGAGTCAGGCCCTGAAGGTAGGGTGGCTGCCAACCATCTCCTGTGAACAGGTTAAAATAGAGTTACAGTTTAGGAGGAGGCACATATAAGGCTTGGCTTATTGGAATGTCAACCTGAGAAAATCTAGTTTGCCCCAGGCAAGTAGGGGAGCAGAAAAATAACATGGTAAAACTGGAATCTTAGGATGTATAACCTGGTGGCAAAGTGAATTGGAGGTAGGGAGGCCAATAGGGAGGTTGCTGTAATAATGCAGAAAGTTTTTTTTTTTTTTTTTGCTAATTACATTAGTAAAGATTTAAAAATAGATAATGTGGATGATGTTTTAGAAAATGGGCATAATCATTTACTGCTGATGAGACTGTGAATTGGTATAACCTCTCTGGAAGGCTATCAATATGTATCAACAGCTTTTGAAAAGTTCATACTTCTTGATTCAATCCTTTCCTTTCCTGGACCTCAAGAAATCCTCAAAAATATGCATGTTCAGAAATGTTCAACTGTGTGTTATTAATAAGAGCAAAAAAAAAGGAGAAAGAGAAAAATAAACCATCTCTATAGTCATCCAAGAAAGAATGGTTAAACATTTTAAAATACACATAGAAAAATGCTTTAACATCGAGGGGCTGGGGATGTGGCTCAAGCGGTAGCGCGCTCGCCTGGCATGCGTGCGGCCCGGGTTCGATCCTCAGCACCACATACCAACAAAGATGTTGTGTCCGCCGAGAACTAAAAAATAAATATTTAAAATTCTCTCTCTCTCTCACTCTCTCTCCTCTTTCACTCTCTCTTTAAAAAAAAAAATGCTTTAACATCATTAGAAAATGGGTTTTGGAAGCCTATTTAATGGAATTAGAAAGTGCTCACAATAAAATGATAAATGGAAAAAACACAATACAAATGGATTATAGTATCCTGGGTTGGATTCTGAAAGAGAAAAATGACATTAGTGGAAAAACTGAGGAAATATAAATATAGTCTACAGTTTAGTGAATAGTAGTTTAGTAAAATATTAACATGTCCTAATATTAATTTCCTTGTTTTGATGGAGGTGTTATAGTGACAAGATGCTCACAGTAGGGGAAGCTGTATGAGAGACAAGAGAATCTCTCTGTATGGCCTTCATAACTTCTGTAAATCTGTAGATAACATTTCTTGAGCCTTGCTACACATCAGGCATGGTGCTAAGCATCTTCCTTACCATAACCCCCGAATCCTTACTGCTGTTCCATGAAGTAGATTTTATGCCACCCCACTTCACAGATGAAAGAAAGAAGCTCAAAGTGATATAACTTGCAAGCAGGAGACCCAGAATTCAAATTCAAGTACTCCTGACATTAAGCCTTGTGGTTTTTTCAATTTTTGCATTGCCAAAAGAAATGCAGTTAAAAGGGTTAACTTAGGGAGGTAGGATCAAGGTTGATTCTCCCTGCCCCCTTGTGGGTAATTTTGAGAGGGTTTTCCCCTTTGATAGGGGAAAGAATGGATAGGACTTGCAACCTGATTATGAATGGGTGATAGATAAAGGCAAGAACTGAAGGTGACAATAAGTTTGGTTGTCACTTTCAAAAGCACAGAGGGTAGGAGAAGGAGCCAATTTTGGTGAGGGTTTTAGTTTCTGCTCTGCTGTGATGGGAATATCCACATGTCCTCAGTGACCTGAGTGATGTATCTGGGCTCTGGAGGGAGAGACCTCTTCAGAGTCTGCATGGCTTGGAGGACCATAGCTCAAGTGACTCTAGGAAAGCTCACACATGGGGAGAAGGTACTGGAGTGGGGCAAAGATGAGATAAGCAGGGGTCCAACCAGACCTCAGAGAAGCACAGCTTAAAGCAGCACAGGCCTCAGTACTCTGACTCACCACTGGAACCATCTATGGGCTTAGATCTAAGGCCGTAGGATGAGCCTGTTGTTCTTCACCTGGCTTTGTGAGACTTTGGTATACCTCTTAGGTCCCAACCTTAGGGTTGAGACAAAGTACATGAATCATACATGAATCTGCAGCAAGTCCTGGGCTGCCAGGATGTTGTTGTCCTGGAAGATTTTTTCTCCTCTGGATGAATGGAATGCAAACTTTCTGCATTTCTTTGGAATATCCTGTTCTCCTGGTTTACCCATTTCTTACTCCTCCCATCAGCCTGTTACTGATAAAAAAAACCAAAACAAAACAAAAAAAAAACCCTAAAAGTCTTCTATGCAGGGGAGGAGTTTTGTCCTGTTATCTTCCAGAACTGTGCAAAACCATGGTCAACTGCATGGCACTCAATAACTTTCCAACTAACATGCACCCAGA